TAGGAAGTCCCATTTCACAGTGTAAATAAAAAAACACTGCTTCTGGCATTATTTGTTGAGTTTTACCTTGCAAGGCAGATCCATTTACATTATTGCAAGGGTCAGGCCTGGACCATCACTTATTAAGGAAAGAGCTCACTACTTATTAAGGAAAGAGCTCCACACTTGGGCAATTAAATCTTATTTAGGTTTTTGCCACAGCGTAGGAGTGCTCACTAGAGAGAGACAGACAGAGACAGTGAGAAGGAAAGGAAATCATCTCCCAGTGGAGATGACCATGCCTCAATCCCTTCTCCTCCATCCTCCTTCTGGGATTTTGGACATGCATGCACATGCACCCAATATGATTTTCAAATCCAGTACTTGAACCATGTCAGCCATGTGGGAGTCCAGGGCTTTAACCATCATGCCATCATGCCATCTGCTGGTCCCCCAGGCAATTAAATATATTTAATTAGAGTTTTTCATGTCTTTTTTTTTTTTTTTCCCTTTATGAGAAAGTGAGAAGAAAAGGGGAAGGGAAGAATGAGGTAGATTTTTTTTTTTTTAAGAGAGACAGTTTTGCTATAGGATGTGTGCATTCACTGTGAGAAATCACCCCATGCCACAATCCCTTCTCCATTCTCCTCTCAGGATCGTAGGCATGCGTGCACATGCATCTGGCATAAGTTTTAAGCCACCGGGTTCAGGATTCAAACCATGGTCAACTATATGGGGGTCCATAAATGTAACCATTACACCATCTGCTGATCCAGAGGTAAATGTTTTGGACAGGTCTCGCAGTCTCACAGTCCTCTTGCCCCTTCCAAGTAGCTAGGGTTCCAGGTACTTGTAGTAGTTCTCTTTGTGTTCAGATTGGAGCAGGACTGAACCCAGGACTCTCATGGGACCTGCAGCCTCCCAAATGGTGCTCTCTGTGCACCAATTTGTTTTGTTTCTTGGATTGTCACCCACCTGAGGATAGGGACTGCATCTTATTTCTGGATAGCCAGACCTCTAACAGGGCTAGCAAAGAGTGGAAACTCAAATGTTTAAACGAACAAATGGAATCCATAAGCCACACATACACTCAGGAATAGAGCTTCCTGAAGGCATGGAAACAGTTTGAAGAAGACTTCAGAAGTTGGCCCTAGAGATGGAAGAAGTGGTGATTAGCATGACATGTGAGCTTTTGACAGGATGGATGGTGGGGCTTGCCCTCTGAGTGGCTGCTGAGCATGGCAAGAGAGAAAGGCATTCTTGAGACTAACAGGGCTATGGTTGGTTGTGTATGGGGCTGTTTCCTTGTTCAGGCAGTGGAGACAAGGGTAATACAAGAGGTTACGTGACATCTGCTCTCCTCAAGCCTGGCCAGTATTCTCTATAGGCTTTCAAATGCTGGTGAAGAGTGATTCTGGGTGTCTGTGAGGTCCAACCTGATGGGTGGAGAAGGTGTAATTGGGCCCATAGCACAGTACAAGAAATCATTGTTCACTTGGGCTTGCAGTCTTGGCAAAGAGTCTTGGCACCATTACATGGAGGTCTTCTGGAGTGATGAGCTCCTATACATGGAGAACATTCTTCCTACCCATGACATTCTGCTAGAATTCTTTATGACCTGGGACCAGCAGTTAGTGTAATGGCTATGTTGCTGGACTCCCATGTAGTCGACCGTGGTTCAAGTCCTGGACCTAGTGACTTAAACTCACACCAGGCATATGTGCATGCGTGTCCAAGATCCTGGGAAGAGAATGGAGGAGAAGGGATTGTGGTGTGGCCAACCACCCCCCTCTGGGGGGGTGATTTCTCACTTTCTATCTCTCCATCTCTCTCTGTCTTTCTGGAGGATGCACATGCCCTATAGCAAAAACATCTTTAAAAAAAAAAAAAGAATCCTTTATGACCCAGCCTTGGTCCTCCTCCATGAAGTCTTCTATCCAGACTGTATAGGGTTCTGTCCTTATTCTCTGAATTCCTATTAAATTTAATGTTTATATCAGTCATTTTTAGCCTATAAGTTCTTTGCCAAATCTTCTGGAGATACATATAGCTAGCTAACCACAAATACACACAGACACACACACACACACACACACACACACACATACACACACGAACTTCAAAAAGTTCATGGAAAAATAGAATTTAAGTATGAGTTTATTTTGTTGCAAAACTGTTTTTGTTTTTTTAAAATTTATTTCTTCCATGAGCAAGAAAGGAAAGAATGAGAGTGATAGAGAGAGGAGGACAGTGAAAGCATCCCCAACAGGGTTAATATGGTGATCTACCATGGCTTCAACCTGCACTGGGTCATGGGCATGCATGTACCTGCTGTACTCAGGGCGTTCTCTGGATGCAAACTCGTAACTTCCCATGTGGATCAACCTTGCAGAGCCTTAGTTTTTTTACCACTGTGCCACTATCCAGGCCACAGTACAAAAATAAAATAAAATAAAATAAATAAAATATAATAAAAGAAAAGAAAATAATAAAAGAAATAATGTGCACAGTATATTGGTAACACACATTTTCCATGAAGTTTTTGAAGATCCTGTCTGTATACACACAAACACACACACACACACACACACTCTGATAGACTAGGTATAGAATTCCTGATATGTTTATATATCCACTTACCTACACACCTGTTATTTTCCAGTTAGATTGCAAATTACCTTAAGGTCTAGGGAGCATGTAAGTTTTGTGTATATCCTCACAGTTCATAGATGGTGTTAACGAGGAATACAACTAGTACCCCAAAATACACATTGAATTGATTTTTCTGTCTTTTTTTTTGGTATTTAGGACTGTAAAGAGATTAAAGAGAAGAGATTTACCCCTTTGAGAGTAATGCTTTTGGTGAACAACGTGACAGCAAAGGACAGAGGGAACTATGCATGTCAAGCTACACTGACACACCTGGGGAAGCGGTACATGGTTTTAAACAGCATCACTGTGAATGTCAGTAAGTATGTGTGCATTCATTGTCTAGTCTTCCTCTTGCTTTTTGGGAGCTGGTGTCTGGCTTCAGGCAGAAGTGATTCTGAATATCCATTTCCTGAAGGTTATCAGGCACATATCTGTCACTGTCCAAATCATAGGGCAGAAAAAGTGAGGCAAAAGGACACGAGCAGCTTAGTCTTCTCTTCTACAAAAACAGAGTACTCAAAACTCTCGGTTTGTTTATAAAAATTACATGAGATCATGTACATAGAGGAGCTACGAAGATGCCCGGCAGGGTGCAGGTATTCAGTTAATGGTAAATATGATTAATATCTTATTTCCCACAGCCTTCCCTGCTGTGGATATTTCTTTTTTTTTTATTTCTTTTATACCTTCAATCACATATGTCACATAGCTTGTAACATGAATGTTCCAACAGGAATACACTTCTCACCAGTCCAGTTGGAAATACTATATACATTATCTTCAACAGATAATAACCCATTTCATTGTCCCATAAATGTCTTGCCTCTCTATTTTTCCCCAGACTCTCCTTCTCCTACTCTGTTCTCACACTGTATCTGGTATGTATAACCATTTCTATGTTTCTATATCCTCTAGTTATTCAGTTTGGGCCATAAAGTGCGGATAGTGGGTATATATTAAGTGGAGATGTACAATGCCTCTTCTTCATAGACTGGCTTGCTTCACTCAACAGTAAATCTTCCATATTTATCCACTTTCTATCAAATGACAGCATCTTATGTTTTTTTATGGCTGAGTAGTATTCCATAGAGTATATGTGCTACATTTTTTCAATCCATTCATGGATATTTGGGTTGGTTCCATGACTTAGCAATTGTGAATAATGCCACAATAAACATTGATGTGCACTTTTCCAACTAAACATTCTTCTGCCCTTTGGGTAGATACCCAGGAGTGAATCATATGGTAGCTTTATTTGTATATGGTTGAAGAATCTCCATATTGTTCTCCACAGTGGCTGGATCAATTTACATTCCCATCAACAGTGTAGGAGAATTCTCCTTTCACCATAGCCCTGCCAGCACTTATCATTTTTTGTTTTTTTATTTGTTGCCATTCTGACTGGGGTCAGGTGGTATATCATTGTGATTTTGATCTGCATCTCCCTTAAATTGAGAGATGTTGAACGTTTTTTCATATGCCTTTGGATATTTGTATGTCTTCCTTAGAGAGTGTTTTTTTTCAACTCATTCTCCTATTAGGAGATCAAACTTTTCATTAGGTTTATCATCTTTTTTTGGGAAAGCCGCTTGAGTTCCCTGTGTATTCTGGTTATCAGTCCCTTATCTGACACATAGTTTAAAGAAATATTCTCCCATTCTGAGGGCTGTCAATTTACACTAATTACTGTGTCTTTTGCCATGCAGAAACTTCTTAATCTGATGTAATCCCACTTGTCTCTTTTCGGGATTATTGACTGTGTTTTGAGGGTCTTATTTAAGAAGTCTTTGCCTACTCCAATGTCTCCCAGAGTTTCCCCAGTGTTTTCCACCAGTAGTTTTATAGTTTGAGGTCTTAGGTTTAGATGTTTGATCTACTTTGAGTTGATTTTTGTCAATGGTGAGAGGTAAAGGTTTAGATTCATCTTTCTGCAGGTGGATATCCAGTTTTTCCAGCACCATTTTCTAAAGAGGTTTTCCTTTTCCCATTGGGTTGACTGGTATCTTTTGTCAAAAATCAGTTGGCTGTATGATTGGGACTTTATTTCTGGGTCTCTAATCTGTCTCATTGGTCCACCTGTTTGTTTCTGTGCCAATACCATGCAGTTTTGATTATCACAGCTTTCTAGTATATTTTGGGGTCAGGGAGTGAGATGCCGCCCACAAGGTCTTTTATGATTCCTCAGACAAATGATATGATTGTCTTTTCTAGATTTGTGAAGAATGTCTTTGGTACTTTGGGATTGATTAAATAAGTAGATTAATTTGGGTAGAATTGTCATTTCGATTATATTAATTCTTCCAATCCAGGAACATGGAATGTCCTTCCACTTTTTTGAGTCATTTTCAATTTCTTTTTTAGCTTCTCATAGCTTTCCTTGTGGAGGTATTTAACTTCTTTGGTCAGGTATATTCCTAGGTATCTTATACCCTTTGTTGTGCCTATGGTAAATAGAATTACTTTCTGTAATTTCATTTCAGTCTGCCTTCTGTTCGTATATATAAATGCTATAGATTTCTGTATGTTGATTTTGTATCCTGCAACTTTACTATATTCATTTATTATTTCCAGAATTTTTTTGTGGATACCACTGGATCTTCTATGTATACAATCATGTTATCCACAAATAGAGATAATTTCACCTCTTCTTTTCCTTTTCAAATGCTTTTTATTTTATTCTCTTTTCTGATTGCATTGGCAAGGACTTCCAGTACTATATTGAAAAGGACTGTAGAAAGTGGGCATCCTTGTCTTGTACCAGTTTTTAGTGGAAAAGCTTTCAGCTTTTCCCCATTTCAAGATGATGTTGGCTATGGGTTTTCATAGATAGCTTTTATTGTGTTGAGGAATTGCCCTTCTATGCTGATTTTTCTAAGAGTCTTGATCATGAAGGAATATTGTATCTTATCAAACGCTTTTTCTGCATCAGTTGAAATGATCATATGGTTTTCATCTTTCTTTCTGTTAATATGGTGTATTACATTTATGGTTTTGCTTATGTTGAACCATCCTTACATCCCTGGAATAAAGCCTACCTTGTTGTGATGTATATAATCTTTTTTATAAGATGTTGTATATGATTTTCTAGTACCTTATTGAAAATTTGTGTGTCTAGATTCATCAGAGATACTGGTTTATAGTTTTCCTTCCTTGTCTTATCCTTGTCTATTTTAAGGATAAGGGTGAAGGAAGCTTCACAGAATGAATTTGGGAGAGTTCCATTCTTTTAGATCTTTAGAAATAACTTGAGTAGAATTGGGCTTAACTCTTCTTTAAAAGTTTTGTAGAATACAGAGATGAAGACATCAGGACTTTTCTTTGTTGGGAGGTTATTTGGTACTGATTCAGTCTCATAGCTTGTCATGGGTCTATTTAGACTTTCTACATCCTCCTTACTCAATCTTGGTAGATTATATGGAATTTGTCTGTCTCATCCAGATTTTCTTGTTTATCTTTTCAAAGAACCAGCTTTTACTTTCATGTATTTTCTGTATAGTTTATTTTCTATTTCATTTATTTCTGCTTGGATCTTTATAACTTCTTTTCTCCTAGAGTTTTTTGGATTTTTTGCTGTTCCAGTTGCTTTTCCAGTTCTCTGAGGCATATTAGGTGGCCCATTTGCCTTCTTTCCATCTTCTTATTTGCACTAATTGGTATGAGCTTCCCTCTTATGACTGCTTTTGCAGTGTCTCAAAGATTATGGAAACTTGTATACTCATTGTCATTGGATTCTATAAATCTTTTTATTTCATTTTTTATTTCTTTAGTAGTTGTGAAGTCATTCATGGGTAGGTTATTTAGTTTTTATGTATTTGTATATTTTTGAGAATTTTTCTTGAAATTAATATCAAGTTTAATTCCATCATGGTCAGAGAAGATGCTGGGTACAGTTTCTATGCCTTTGAATCTGTAAAGACTTGCTTTGTGCCCTATCATGTGGTCAATCTTTGAAAAGGTTCCATGTGCGGGTGAGAAAAAAAGTGTATCTAGTGGGTTTTGGGTGGAAGGTTCTATAGATGTCTTATTAAGTCCATTTGATTTATGGTATCATTTAGATCCTTTACCTCTTTGCTCATTTTTTGTCTAGATGATCTGTCCAAAGGAGATAGTAGGGTGTTGATGTCCCCAACAATTAGTATGTTGCAGTCTATCTCTCCTTTTAGATCTAACAGTATTTCCTCCATGTATTTGGATGCTTCTGAGTTAGCTGGATAGATATTTATAAGTGTTATAGCTTCTTGATGAATTAGCCTTTTTACTACTATATTATGCCCTTCTTTGTCTCTTTGTACAATTTTTGTTTTAAAACCTATTTTGTCAGAAATTAGTATCATGACTCCAGGTCTTTTTTGGTTCCCATTTGCATGGAAACCTATTTCCAGCCCTTCACTTTTAATCTATATATGTTTTTATCCATGAGATACATTTCTTGGATAGTGGATTTCTGTCTTTTTTATTCATTCAGCCAGTCTGTGTCTCTTGACTGGAGAATTTAATCCATTCACATGCAATGTTATTATTGATATTTCTGGACTGGTGCCTACCTTTAAGTTGGCCATTGTCTTGGTTGTCTTTTATTCCCTTATTTCTGGCTGTTCATTCTTTAGTTTTCCTGGAACAGAACTCTCTTCAGAGTTTCTTTTCTTTTTCTTTTTTTTTTCCTTGAGAGTGGTTTTTTTTTTTTTTTTTTTTTTTTTTTTTTTTTTTTTTTTTTTTTTTTTTTTAGGGGGTTTCTTCAAC